TTCTTTTCCTTGCCTCCCTTCACACAAATAAATGTGTCCATTTATCAAAGGGGTTGTCTCTATATTCTCCCTGGTTGTTGCCTTCAGCTGTTGTCCAAATAAAGGGCCTTAAAACTTTGCACTATCCTTGCTGGAGATGTGGTGGAGAGAAATGGTAGCCATGGATGTATAATTTACTTTGGGTATTAGTTGAGCCCATTTAACCTGCTAAAGACTACCCCTTTATCTCACGTGAGCCAGTGTCTGCAGGGTGGTGGTGGAACGACCCTTCATTGTTTTGAAAACACATTGTACATTTGGGCTCAAGAAAAGCTAAAGGAAGTTGCTGGAGTTGCCAACAGGTTCCATCTCCCACTGCATACTTCTAGTTCCCTGAGTTGTCTATCTTCCCCCACCACCTCTAAACGGCCCTTGGCTGGATTGGAACCAGTGACCTAGAGGTGAACAGCCACCAGCTCCCACCTTCAGTTCAGGAGTGATTAAAGCAGAAGAAAGATGGCGTAGGTATTAGGGTGCTCACTGAGAAGACCCATGTTCAATTTCGTGTTCCACCACAGACTTCCTGCATGACCTTGGGCAAAGCACTCCCCCACTCTTGGCCTCAGTTCCGATCTGTACAATGGGTATAATTGCCCTGCCCTGCCTCACGAGGCAAATACTGTCTTAGGGACAGCTTTAATGTAAGTATTTTGTCAGCAGTGCCATGTCTGGGTCCTGCTTGTCTGGCATTGTACTGGCTACATTTTGTAGTGTAGTTTCCCTTTGAGTTGTTGATGGCCATATTGGGGGAAACTATTCTGTTGTCTGATTTTTTTTAAAGCAATAAACAAAACATTTAAAACAAACTTCCATTGACCTCAGTGGGAGCAGAAGCAGGCCGAATGTTAGTAATTCTCTTGTTCAGGTGCATCCCAATCATCAGTCGTTAATACACTGTCCACAGGAGATGTGAGTTGTAGGGCCAGGCAATGGAAGGTACTGAACACCCCCAACTCCTATTGACTTCAGTAGGAGCTGAGTGTTCATCAGCTCCCAGGATCTGGCCTCACAACCACTCAGGTTGAAGTTGGTGGGAGTTTTAACACTGATTTCAATGGGACCAGGATCAGAGTCTTAATTTACCCCAACAGCGATTCAGTCCATTAGAGCATCAAGGAATCCTTGCACTGCAAAGTCAAGGGGGTTAATGTCGTTTGCCAGGCACCCCACCACCGTACACCAGCCCTCCCCAGGCATTGAGATCAGCCTAGCTAGTTCCAACGGACTTCCTTTTTTGGGTTGTTGCTGTGTCATCCAAGATGTCCCCTGAACTCCATCCTTCTGTGAAACGTTCCTGGAGCAGGGAGCCAGGTCCCAGATACAAGCAGAGGTGGTGAGCTAATGGAAGTTGCCAAGGCTCCATCAAAGCATTCCCAAGCTCCTGCGAGCGCTGAATCATCAAGGAAGGGAGGAGATCATGAGCAATGATGAGCAATTCCAAGGACCATGCAGGTCAGAAGGCGGTGACGCTCGAAGCAAGGCCAGTAATTAAACTGGCAAAGGGACCAGCAGGGATAACTGGTAGGTTTGCTTAGATGAATATTTAATAAATAGGACATGACAGAACACACGTTACTGTGTTCTGATCATCTCATCCATGCATCACAAGAAGCCTTAGATGGCACCTTAATATTTAGGATCAGAGTTAAGACGGTCTGGTGGTTGTTCAGGATGAAGGTAAAGCTACCTGGGATGTGGATTGTGGAAAGGAGCTGGAGGCGAGATTGCAAAGGGGAACTAGAGCTTATGTGGGGTGGTGTCAAATGACTCAACTGCTCTTTCCTGGCTGCCTGTAGTTTGCGTCGGTGGGAAGTCCAGGGAAGCAATCTTAGTATGTTAAAGTTTTGTCAGAGAATTTCCCAGTTTTATAAATGGATGAACATTGATCGTTCTTCCTGTGAACGGCCATGAAGACGGTTGTGTATTATTTCTTGGATGGCTCCTATGCCATCCTGAGCTGCCTGGTATGTCCTTCTCCCACCATAGAGCCGTTTCCCCTCTACTTCACAGTAACCCCACTGCCCAACTCCAGAACGTTTGCCCCCCTCTACATTCTGCATCTAGGCATTGCTGTAATACACAGTATTCCATGTCCTGCTGTTACATGTCTCAAGTACTTTGAGATGCCCATGTACAAAGTCCCCTAAGATAGTGTAGTTGCAGTCTATGCATGAGCTATTTATTGATGCTGTAACTAAGGTCAATGCAGAAGGCCACTGGCTGGCCCCTTGGCTTCACAGACAGCTGCAAGAACAATAGGTTTGCAGCAGGAAAGGCAAGTCTGAACTCACGAGAGCCCCATCAAATCCTATTCTAAAGCTTCCACCGAGAGTTCTCACAGCAGGAAATAACAAAATATCCTACTTGCTGCACTTCTCTTGCCCCTGGACCCCAGCTCAAGAGTTGGACTAAGTGAACAGAACATGGGTTACCACAGCTACAGCATATCAGATGAGAGGTAGCAATTACCTCCTCCCAACAGCACTACAAGCAATAGAGGGAGTGAAAACTGAAAGCTCCACAAAGGAGAGCGGAGTTCTGTTTTATGGTTGCTCTTAGGAATTTGGTACCGAGCAGTCTGTCCTACGGCGCTGACACCAACCCACTAATCCCCAGCTACTGAAGAAACTGGTATTAACCTGAATCTAATCTCAAACTGTGCTCATTTTCCTTGTAGTTCCAGCCTTGATGCTCTCTATAGAAATCACAACTTTTGCCTTCTCTCCAAAGATAAGAAGATGGGATTATGAAGTAAATTTAGCTCTGGAGAAATCTAAATTGTGCCACATTGTATAGAGACAGGGCACTACGTTGTAAGAGAGCTGATAGCTGTTCCGAAGCTTGAGTGCACCAGTGAAGCTGGAGGATGTGATGTAGGAGGAGATCTAAATAGATGGTGATGGACCATTCCTGCCCCTGAGGTCACGGTCCAGTGATAGAAGGAAAACTCATCTCCCTCCACTCAGGGATGTGCACGCAATGCTGTCTAGCGCTCAGTTCAGTTAAGTCTCACCTAAGACTGTTTGCGCCACCACCCCCACAGCCTGGGCCTTGCACAGAAACAGTTCGTTTCTGTGATTTAGGAGACCTCAAAAGAAAAGGGAAGTGTGTTTTGCAGAACGGAGGCAGCTTTCCACCCACCCTGCTGCCTAAATCACAAGTTGTAAAGGAGCCACTGAAGGCCCCTCTGCTTGGTGTGTAAGTGACTTGAGGGTTCAGGATCCTACAGAAATGTTTCTGATTAGTACAAGGTGCCTTAGGACTTTTGACTGCTTAGCCCATTACAGTGGCTCTCCGACTTTTCCAGTCTAGATCACATGAAGAGAGCCTGACTAAGATCCATGATAACTGCATGAACCATCCTACCTCCATCCAGTTACTTCCCATCCCAGGGACAATTGTGACCAGTTACTTTGCTGGGATTACCTGTCCAGGTAAGCAAGGTAGCAGTAGCTAGGTTCTAGTGCTTGCTTACTTCCCCCTCCTTAATAGCAGAGCCAGCCTCACAGAGCAGCCAGAGCTCTGAACACCCCCATCCCCCACCCTCCGAAAGCACTGTTGGAGCCCCCCTTTTAATTCAAGTCATTTCACATACATGGGAGGAGATCCTATTTCAATGACCTGCCCAGTACATTAAAAGCATATTATAGAAACCCAAATGAGGAAACTACATAGGAGTCAAGTAGTTTCAATCCACTCTCAGCAGGAATAAACCCCTTCTCCTCCCCTCCTGGTGTTGTGCCTCTTGGGTGTGTTCTCATTCCAATTTAGATTGTAAACTCCCAGGGGCGGCTACTAGAGCCCAATTTAGCCCTGGGGCGCTCCAGGAAGAGGGCACACGTAGTTTGAAAAAATAAAACGGCATTTTAAAAAGTTTAACACATTTATTTAAAATACAATTTATAAAATGTTTTTCTGCATACTTAGGAGCACTTCCATGGGGAGACAGGCAGCTGTGTGTCCTGTGGCAGACGCACACAGCTTTGCACTTCTTACCACCCGAATACACACACGCACACGCATACACACACACAGAACCATAAAGTGCCCCTAAGAACACACACAAAAAACCCTATAAACATGTATTAGAACAAGAGCTCTAGCCCCTCTGCAAACAGGGCCTTTGACTTATCCCAACACTGATTTCGGGACAGGATCACTGACCTACTGTCCACCTGGAAGAGGGGGCCTAGTGGTAGGTTTCTCCAGGAACATTGCCCCCCCCCGCCCGCAGGTTGGAAGCATCCTGACTGACCATGCTTTAAGGATGAATAAGCTGGAGGGGGGTGCTCTGGTTAGCTCCCCCCCACATAATCTTATATTAGTTATGTGAGGGTGATGCTGGAGGACCGGATTTTGTCCTATGAGCAGCTAGCAAGGACGTTAAACCCCTGACATACAGGATACCAGGTGGCAGAAAAAGGATACTGTTGTCCTAACATTGGCAAGATACCAGAAGCTACATCAGGAGGCTTTTGCCAGCAGCTGGCCATCCAAAGTAATAGCTATTTTAATTATCGATTAAGGAAAGGCGTGGTGACTACACAGTTATTGCTAATGTCTTCTCCCATCCTCTTCTCTTCTGCCCTCCCCCATCCAGCTACTCTTCCCATCAGTTTCTCCTTGCTGCCATGAGGGAAAGATGTTCCCTGTGAAGCAGCTGCTCGTGGCTTGTACAGGTGCTCCTGCAGCACATTCCAAGCCCTACCTGAGAGGAAGTTAGGTAAACATCAGATTACAGTCTTATAAAACCACAAGGACTTGAGCCCAACTGCAGGCCTATGGAACATCTGTACACCTGTGCCCACCTCTCTGATTACAGCAGAAGTAAAAAAAAAAAAGTAATCCTTTAACAAGCATTCCATGGGCTCACTTGATTTAGGGAATCGCAGGAGGGCAGGACAGAAAAGAAATTCAGTTAAAAGATCAATGTTCTAGTAGATTTCATCTTTTGTACACAGGTAGTTTATTTTAACCAGTTGTTTGCTGTATTTCTGTACATGTCTTGGTTTACTGTATGGGAATCTCCCATACAACTCACTGTAGGCAGAGGTTCTGGTCAGCTGCTTCCTTTCAGGCAAAAGAGGATGGGTTCAGGTGCCCACTATTCAACCTATTAAGCACAAACAGTGGCCCGTGTCAAATTGCACCTGTACAGAATACATCCTCCAAAACACCAACTGTGTGGAAAGGCAGCTTCTGGAAACACAGTGACGCAGACTAGCCCACAGTCCTGTTAGGTGAAGGGACGATCTAAATCCTTCTTGGCCTCTGGCTGCTGTCACAGAAAGATATAGTCTGTTTCTATGCCACACAGGCTTGTCTACAGTACCAGGTCCTATCGACATGCTGAGACATCTCTACTACTGGAGCCTTTCCAGCATACAAGATACATTCTTGTTGCCCCAGCAGAAGGAAGCTTTAGTGTTCATCTAATCCCTTGAGACAGTTAATATTAAGAGTTGATCAGCTTCCTTGTCGTCTAATATACAGTTAGACAATGCAACAAGACAGTATAGGGCACAGGAGAAGCAATGGAGTAGCTATATTTGACAGCTTGCAACAGCTGACTTGGTGGTACCTTAAACTTCTCTTCCATGGCCAGGAACCCTTCCTCAGACCCCTTTCTTTTTCTGGGGCTGGAGGACAGAGCTTAGCGGAAAGCCATCTGTTACCACCAATGCATGAAAACAGGGATTTTTTTTCCAAGCTTTATTGAACATGGTTTGTTCCCGATGTCTCTGATTTCTAGAAGTAAATGCATCAAGTACAGCACTGGAATTGTACCATAAGCCATCGGTCCATCACAAGCCACTTAGGGTTCAAACCTTTGGAGCAGTGGTTGCTCAGCCTCCTGCCACACAGCTTTCCGACAAGCACATGCTGCACAGAGCCAGGCTCATTCCCATGTTTTCCATGCACTAACCGGAGTGGACCAGTACAGTATTGAACTAGTCTATTCCTAGCTTGTAAACCTAGATGCAACAGAGCCCCGTTCCTTCACCCTGCTTTCTCTGCTGGAAGCAGCAGGCAGGCAGTAGGTGTCTCCATGGGATCTGTCTACATTCCCTTCTCCCCAAATACAAGAAATGTATTACTAAGTTTTTCCTCAAGCCAGCAGAAAACTAACCAAGCTTACGACAGGTGCAGTAAGTGAACTGGGCCACTGGACTCCACTGGTTTCTGGGCCCAAGGCAATTAGAAAGCCCAGGTACCTGGAAGTCCCCTTCCATTTGCTTGGCAGCAGTGGAAATACAGAACGAGAAGCTAAGCTTGCCAAATCCTAGCCATTATGTTGTGGAAATTCCTAGAAACTCCTTTTTTAGAACACTACCAACTACCTCTCTCAATTAAAACAAACTAAACAGTTAAAACCCTTCCCATGCACTTGGTTTAAAGTTGATCTGATTTACAAACAAAAAACAAAGATCCTTTGAAACAGAACTCGCTCAGAAGTGAGAGAGAGACAACATGCACATTTGGGGAGGCTTCCCATTCTTCTTTTCAATCCCAGGTTAATGAGTATGATAAACATTATTGCTGGCGCTAGCTTCAACTGAAGTGGCACACACGACTCTCTGCACCTGTTCAGAGTCCTTAACGTACCCCCCCCTTCCTTTTACAGTGACTTGGGACAGCCCTCGTCGGTGTGCCAATCACAGTGGGTGGAGCAGGGGGTCACAGTGCATGGGGTTCAAGGTCACAGTGGGCAGAGCAAAGGGATCACAGTGCAAGTAAACCAGGTAGTTCCCTCTGCTCAAGTCCATTTGTCCACCACGGCAGTGCAACCCGTGGCAGCGGACCCTGCTTTCGACAGCATGATCGCTTGCCCACATCTATCTGCGTTGTTTGAAGCCTTGTGAACCATCAGGACCCAGTGGCTGCCGTATCACATTATTGGATGGCCTGGAATCTTCTGGCTGGGAGATCCTTGTTGGCCTGCAGGAAAGAAATCAGTCTTAAAAAGGAAGACGACTTTTACCTTACCCCATGCAATTCCAACGAAGACCGGGAAGAGTCCTTCAGTGGAAAGGCACCGCCATGGTGAAAGAGCTGTTGTCAGTGCTGCTGCACTTTGCAGGGCCTCACAGGCAATTGAGAATTGACTAGTGCTCCATTTCCCCAAGCCCTGCTCTTCAGCAGCCAAAACCCAGGTAACTTCAAAGTCCAAGTCCCAGTCCCGACCCTACCCGAGTGGAATCATCCTGCTCTGGTTTTGTTAACACCTTTGTTCACGGATGTGCTTTAGGAATATTTATCACTGCTCTCTTTTGTAAGAGAGCCATTTCAATGATGTGCCTTTTCCCACCCCAGGCAGCACCTTTTTTTTAAAAAATTGCAGTCCTTTGGTCTTTGGAAAGAGTGGCTGCTGTGTCTGTTCAAACAGGACTCCAGTTTAAGTTGTTCCCCCCCCTCCAAGGTTATGTTTAGTTGGAGAATACACTGGAAAAGGACTACAGAGCCAATGTGATGTAGATCACAAGGCAGGGCAGAACATACAATATGGGGAGGGAAAGTGCCTCTGGAGCGACTGGTCCGGCCCTCTCCAATGAGTGATAAAAGCAGCATGGCTGTGGGGAACGTAAATTCAGCTTGTTCCACACCACGTGAGTCAGGCTAGCCAGCTCAGCTTGATATCCACAGGCAAGACTCAACTCGGTAGCCCCCTTGCTTGGGGAAAACAGTCACATTTTGTTGAAAGGTTACACTCCCCGAGTAGACAGTCTCGGATCTGTGCAGAATTATTTCTAATCCTTTTGTTTTACTATTAAAGATATTTGTATGAAATATGGCAAGTCCTTCCTTGCAGAGTCAACCTGCTCCTGCTGCCTATTCCCCTGGTTATGTCAGAGAAGGCTTTGTCCTCGATCTGTGTCTACACACCTTTGCTTCCGATAAGCATTTGCTTTCATTTCTATGCATTTGAGCTATACCGGATCACATGTCCTAACAGGATGTCCCCACCTCTCAGTGGGCTTTATCCTGCATGTCATGTGAAATATTAGGTATTGGCATGACTCCTCTTCCCTCTGGAGGACTATCTGTAGGAAATTGTTTGCTGAAGGACTTCCTACAGGGGTTAGTTCAGGGATGCAGCTAGAATTGCTATTAAGCCCAGCCACTCTCACCTGTCTAGAATGGGTTTCTCCTGTTCCTCTTCTGGGCTTGCGCTGCCCAGAATTCGTTTTCTGGCTTCTGCGTATTCTGCCTCTCTCTGTGCCAGAGACTTTACCGGAAAAGCTGGTCTGCTCGCAGAGTTGGGGTTACTAAGCACACCGTTAGTTGTGGGCCTCTTTAAGATCCTGATCTGTGGAGGAGGACCTGAGGGAAGGCTGTCATCCTGAATGACAATCGGCACTTTGGGAGGAGATTTTGATTTTCTGCTGTTTAAGAAAAAAAGACACAAATATCTAATTAGTATCTGTATCCCACTGACAAAGTGTTAACTGCTGGGAACGGGAGCCCTGCCAGACGGATACCATCTTTGTTGCAAGACACCACCTAGTCATAATTAACCTTGTTATAGTTGCAACCCTGATACTGTAGTAGAGAGCATGCTTATTTGAGATTTGCCCACTCAAGTCAAACGTGCAGGAGGAAAGAAGACAGACCTGGTGCTTTGGTTCTTCTCCTTTAAAAAAAAAAGGGGGGGGGAGGGAGAGGGGGAGAAAAGGAGGGGTGCTAGGACACTGACCAGAGAATCCCACTTTCAACTGGGTGGGATGATTATTAGAGTTTTTTGCTACCAGTTCCAATCTTAAAAATTAAAGCTCAAAAAGTTTCTGAGTTGGGGTGTCCCAAGCTAGCTTGTGAATTTTTGAGGCAGGGAGTATTCTATAATTTCGAGAGGCATCTGGCCCATTCCCTAGTGCTAAAAAAAATAAAATGGAGGCACCTACAATTGAAGATGTATGAAGGAAAATGTACTTAAGTCATCTCAGGATTTGTTACAGCATGCATCAGCATTTGACAATCTCTCTCAAGCCCCTTACTTTCTGGAATTATGTCCCCACAACCCCACTTCACAGATTTTTGGTACAGTCCCTCTCCCACCTAAAAATCACAACAAACAAGTGTGTTAGCTTAGGCATTAGCTTATTGAACTACCAGAAAGCTGAACCAAAGACTGGCACTCATCAGAAGTTTAGAATTTTGGGGGGAGGGAAGGGAGAGGTGGGGAGGGGAGATAGAGCAAGCAGGAAGATATAAACCCAATTCACATCGCTGAGAACAGTGACAAGTGATAGGTTTGCGGCAGCACGGGATGAAGTATGAGCTTTCCCTCTGTGTGACCCTCCCAAGCCAGAATCCAGGGACAGAAGTCTCACCGACAGAGCACAGCAGGTCAAAAAAAGGGTTGGTACATGAAGGGGTTACTTGGCTTTCACCCATTTCTTCATTCTACTGCCCAGTTTGTTTTTTAAATGGCTTCCCTATAGGTGTGGCTATATCTGCTCTTGAATACCCTACTTCAGGGATCAAATGATCGCCAAGCATCTTTCAGCTACACTGCTCTGGATTAGAGGTGCCACAAAGTGACATTACATAATACAAGCTCCCCATTTCTTAGCTCAAATTGGAGGTTAGTTACCCACTAAATTTGATGCATCTAATGCAATTTACCCTCCTGTGCCAACTCTCTGAACCTGCAAGTGTGCAACTCCAGGCAGGGGAGCCTAGATCAAGAGAGCAACAGAGGGTCCTGTGGCACCTTTAAGACTAACAGAAGTATTGGGAGC